AGTGGAAGAGCGTTGGTCCACTGTGAAACGTTTGCAGCTGATAGCGAAGCTTTCAGTTGTCGGTGAAAACGTTCTACCAACCCGTTTGCTTGTGGATGGTAGTCGGTCGTTCGGAATCGAGTGATTCCTAAAAGAGTGGTCAGACGACGGAAAAGATCAGATTCAAACTGACGTCCGCGGTCTGTAGTGATGGTTGAAGGGCAGCCAAAGTTTGCTACCCATCGTTCGACGAAGGTGCGGGCCACTGTTTCAGCAGTGATGTCCTTGATAGGTACTGCTTCTGGCCATCGAGTGAAACGGTCTACGCAGGTTAAGAGATAAGAGTATCCATTTGAATCTGGTAAAGGTCCTACCAAATCCAGATGAACTTGGTCGAAACGAGCATCGGGAGTTTTAAACGAGCCTAAGGGACATTTATTGTGTCTGATAACCTTAGATGTTTGGCAGCTTACACAGGAGCGTGCCCACGCCCTCACGCCTTTATTCATTCCAGGCCAGCAAAACCTTTCTGCTATAAGCTTGATGGTTGCACGAACACCTGGATGAGAAAGTTTGTGCAATGTATTGAAGACATTGCGTCGATAATGTTTCGGCACGATTGGGCGATCCCTACCTGTAGATGTGTCACAAAGTAAGGTTTCCTTACCTGTTCCCATCTGTTTGATGCGTAGTTTAAGTGTTGTGGACGATAACTCGTGCTGAAGATCAGTGTCTTCTTCGGTTCTGGGTAATCCAGAATGGCCGCCACTTTGGTCCTAAGAGGTCGAATGCCTTGAGCATCGATAGTGTGTCCTAGGAAGTCTAACGAGTCGGTTCCGAATTGGCATTTTTGAACGTTTACAGTTATGCCATGTTTTTGAAGTCGTTCGAAAACAAGATCCAGATGCTTGAGATGTGTTTCTCTGTCCGGACTTGCGATTAAACAGTCATCAACATACGCGTGTACGAAGTTGAGACCTCGAAAAACGTCGTCTATGAATCTTTGGAATGTTTGAGCAGCATTCCTTAGACCGAAAGGCATTCGCAAAAATTCATAGAGTCCGAAAGGAGTGATGATAGCTGTTTTCGGTATGTCGTCAGTAGCCATAGGGATTTGGTTATACGCTTTAACCAAGTCGATTTTCGAAAAGACAGTTGTACCTTTCAAGGTAGCTGTCAAATCGTGAATGTGAGGCAACGGGTAACGATCGGGAATGGTTTCCGCGTTCAATCGCCGATAGTCACCAGTTGGACGCCAATCGTTGCTGTCCTTTTTAGGGACCATGTGCGACGGAGATGCATATGGGCTACTTGACGGTCGTATGATTCCTAAGTCCATCATGTGATCGAATTCGTTTTTCGCTAACCTTAGCTTTTCAGGAGCTAGTCGTCGTGCTTTAGAGAATACAGGTGGTCCTGTAGTAGTGATGTGATGTGTAGCATTGCTGGTTACACACGGTAGTTTCGTTTGAGTTTGTTGTATCCCAGGGTACTTATCGAGTAGTGGTTGATAGAGTGGGTCTATCATATGTTTAACTGTGACTGGGGATACTCTACAACCAGTAAAAGAAGTTACGCAAACGGACAAATTAGTGTTTCCGTCTACTAGCCTCCGTTTGCGCGTGTCGATGATCAGATTATGGTGTTGTAGAAGATCCATACCAATGATTGGCATAGAAACATCTGCAACAACGAAAATCCAGTGTATGGGTTTGCGCAAACCCACGTTAAGGTAAACGTACCTTTTGCCATACGTAGCGATCGGTTTTCCGTTTGCCGCCTGTAGGTTAAAAGCCGATTCCTGAAGCCGGTCGTTAGGATTTGCTGGGAGAACGCTAACTTCTGCGCCAGTGTCGACGAGGTAACGAACTCTCGTTGTCACATCTGTGACGAATAACAGACGGCTTTGTTCGCCGGCTACGGTTGCCGTTAACGCGTCCCGGCTTGGAAGTTTCCCGAATTGCTTTTCGAATCAGTCGGTTTCGTGTTGAGAAAATTGCAGGGCTTTATACAATTTCTGGAAAACTTTCCATACTGGTTATGATACCAGCACCAGTCGGGGTTATCTGTCTCTCGTGGTCTAGAGACAGATCGCTTACGAGAAATGCTTCTACGTGGTGTCCGCGATCTCTTACGGTCGGTACGAAGACTAAGATAACGCGTGAGTGTGTGACATAAGTCGGTTATATCATTCTGAGTCGTTTGAGGTTTTTCTTTGACTGAAAATACCTCGGTAGTAGATTTCGTAATTTCTAAAATGCGGTCGGCAGATGCAGCTAGCTCGTCTAAGGCATTGTTCTGGAACGAGACCAGAACTGCTTGCACCTGTTGGGGAAGTTTTGACAAGAAGAGTTGTTTGAATAGGCCTTCGTCGAAAGTTCTTGGGCCCATTACCTCTCTCATCCGTTGCAACATGTCCGTCGCAGAACCGTGTTGCAGGTCGATATTGTTGAAGAGTTGATCTAACCTTTGTCGATCGGTTAGGTCTCCTCGTTTAAGAATCGAGCGTTTTAAGATTTCGTAAGGATCGGAAACATCACTAGTAAACATACTAGGTGTTACGTACCTGTTGAATTCGCGCGGTAGTGCCTTGACTACTGCGAGGAATTGTGCACGTGTGTCGATCACGCCGTGCTCGGAGAAGTCGGCTTCTGCGTAGCAAAACCAGGCTTCGATGTTGTCGGGCCAGAAAGGCATCAGTTGAAACGAAGGCGGGGACAAAGTCTTAAGCCTGAGTACTTTAGGTGTCTGTTCAGTCATGATGAAGTATGAAGTACGATAATGAACAAGGAGAAAATATATATATCCAGGGAAAAAACACGAAAAAAAAAATCACAATGTTTAAAAAAGTTAAAAAAAATAAGGCAATGATATATAAAAATCCCAAAAAATAACAGACTCACAGTTGCAATTAGGTGTACCAGATCACGTCGGTTTCACCAATGATAATGTCACAGGTATTCAGTGTTTGACAACGCTTCTACCAGTAACACCTTCTAATATATTTCGTTCCCGCCCAGAGAAATCAAAAGACAGAGTCGAGGAGATCGGAAGAGTATATTTGGCGATGACCAATATATTGGAATTCTTTGATCTAATCTGGCTAGCGATTGCGGTTGATGTTGAGCACGGCGTTACTACACGTGATCTGATGCGGATGCCTGACCGAGCGCCTTCAGCTAAATGAGTCCACTAAAACATATGGTCAGCATCCAATGTCGAAAACCTAGTGCTATTTATTTTGGGGATTTATTTACCGCTACAATTTCACTCGACCAGTTGTGTTCGAGTAGAGAGCCTTTGAAAAGTTAATGTACTTCTTTGATACTCCTTTCAGTGACAAACACTGCCACAAAAATTCACGATCGAAAGTTCGAATGGCGGCTTAAGGTCGAGAAATGCTTCGATTGTGAGGCGTCTGAATGTGTGTCTATGTTCTGGGAACTGACGTAGTGTGAATATCTGGTCCATACAACCACGTCCAAGTCGAGAACCAGCCTGATTTTCTCTAGTCTGTTCTTCACGAGCTTTAGTTAGGCGTCGAAGTATTATTGAAGCTAATATTTTAGACACTATATTTGTCAAACTGATTCCTCTGTGATTGTCACAAGAGGACTTTTGTCCGTCCTTATAGACTGGCACAATCAGTGATTGAGACCAGTCAGAAGGGATTACGTCCAGTTCCCAAATTCTACCTAAGACCTCAGTTAATTTTCTTGCTAATACTGGACCACCATCCTTAAAAATCTCAGGAGTAAACCTGTTTGGGCCTGCTGCTCTCCGTCGCTTCAGATTTCCTATGGCTTTTACAACTTCGTAAAGAGGCGGAGGACCTAAATTAACTTGCCATTCAGGTTGACTGGAGGTCGTGTGAAACCGAAGTGTGATTGAAGGCCAGTTGAACTGATCCCTAAAGTGTTCTACCCATCGATCCAATCTCCTGGATTGAGGAAGTATAATGTATCCGTCTTTTCTGAGAAAGTTTCGCAACAGTTGAGTTCCTAATACCGGTTTCCTTAAAAAGTCTGAACAATTGTCTGCTATTACATATTGCCGCTGCCTTTTCCATCTCTCTTGCTCTCAAAATATATATACAAATATATTTTTGTTGATATGGGCTTACTTTTTTTTACATCAAAGGCATTCTTTATGTTTGGAATAAATTTCAATGCAAAATTAATGTAATTAACCTAGCTTGGCATCATTACTTGCGCTTGTTAACCCTCGTGAGGAGCTTAGGCCGCCCTACCAGAATTCTTCCTGGAACTCTGTTCTGAAAAATCATTTTCAGTTGCAATTGATTCTTTTGATGTCTGCTTCTGATCCTCCCTTTCATTGCAAATTAGGACATGCCTCGCGATTCAGTTTGATGATTTCTGCAATACATGTCTTATCCAGCATCATTTCCTAATTTCCTCTCCATTGTTTATAAATACTTGTGCATTTTTGATGATGGTTGTTTTATTTCTCGAGGTAGAACTGTCTTCACGTTGGTACTAATAAGCTAGAAAAACGTCATAGTATGATATGAAAATATGAGTAGAGACTGTCAAAAGTAACTGTTTAATTTATTTAATTCAGTTGATGAAAATATAATAACTGTCAGTGTTAATCAGTGCTATTAACAATAAAACGTTATTACACAATATTCGAATGCACTGAACGAACACTTTTGTGAGGATAACCAATTTATCATATAACGTCAAATATCACAATGCTTTCGTAAAATAAAGTCATTTATTTGCAAGTCTCCTTTCAGTTGTCGTGCACATACTTCTTCATTCTTCATATTCGAATGTCGTTGTAATTCCTCACCGTTTCCTTTTCTGTTTTTTCGTAATTCAATCTGAAACGTTTGCTAACAGGCACACTATTTCATTTTGGTGTTACATACTACTTATATCTGTCAAAATGTGTAGCATCCGTCACGCGTTTATCCGTTTTTTAATGGTTGAATTAATCAAGTGTGATTGAAATGGATTGATATAAACCTCATAACACCATACAATTCATCACATTTTATGCTGTTTGTACTTTTGTTCCTTTACATTATTGTAGATGAAATTTCATCAGCTTTCGCTTCGTCATCATCCTCATCTATTTTATCATTGTCATCGTTTAGATCTGTATTGTCAAATAATAATAATTTAATATTAGCTACTGGATCAGCATGTCCATCAAATCCTGGAATTGTATGTAGTCATGATTATTTATTAGTGGATGATCGTATATCTAATGTTTATGACGGTATAATTAACAATATACCAATAATTCGTTTTTGTTTAATCAATAATTCCACATTGAAAACAATCGCCACAAAGACAAAAACAAAATTACCAGAAGTAGAAATGATCAATTCGTCATCATCATCATCATTATCTTCTCCTTCTTTGATCCCCTCTGGATCCTTTTCATTGAATTCAATAGATTATAATAAATTATATGCACCAGATGAATCATATTTAGTTGAGCAAATTTATGATCCAATCAGTAATGTATACGGTTGACAGTTTACATCAAATTGAAATTTATTAGATCCATATATTATTCATGGAAAAGACATAGTGTTAGAATATATTGGTAAGCATTAGTTTGTTTTTTGTTTATTACAGTGATTGTTTAAATGTTTATGTTATACACATGATGGACTGATTGTAGACAGATAATAATTGAAAATGAGGAAACATTAAATGGCTCTTTCATTCATTGTAGCATTGAACTGTTCAGTATTTTACACTGATGAACCATTCAAAGAATTTCAGACTTGATGGCGAGACATCAATCCTTATACTAACCAGTTGGGACCTAATGGTTGATGCTTGTGAAGACAGTCAGTCAGTCAGTCAACTTACAGCATTACAAAATCATTATCTAGTGATATTGATGTGTAGTTGCCTCAGACCCGATATAACTGAACTACATTGATCATAACCTGTTACTAGAACTCTAGGCATTACTTCTTGAAATTACTCATTACTGAGGCTTACTGCTAGCTGAGTTGTAAAAACGTAGACCTGATGTGTAACTGATAAAAATACTGATTGATTGTTTACCTAGTCAGACCAGTAGATAGTCTGACAAGTATGAAATGTGTCATATGTTTTCTATCACATTATTATTTCTTATTGTTCGTTATTGTCGTTGAAATATACGCACGTTCTAGTGTGATCAGTCACGTGTTCGTGATCAAAGTTGTTTTGAAGTGCTGTAGAATGGAAACTGGCACGGTATCGTGTGTAGATATTTGTCTCATTCGTGTAAAGAAGAAATTCCAGCGTCATTTCAAAACGATCGTTCTTGACTCAGTGATCGAAAGCTTATAGAGAGGCTATTAGGTGTTTTGTTTTTGAACTTGATCTATGTTAGGCTTGTGGATTTACACTATTCAGAAGTCTTTTATTAAAGACGAAACAGTTGTTTTGTTACAGTAACTTCATGATATCAACTACAATATATAACTGTTTATGTCATTGTGTTTTATGAATATGTCATAATTGTTTTACGAAGTATCGTATATCAGAGTAAAGTTTAATAAAGATCGAGTTTAAAACAACTCTGTTCGTCTTGATATCTTGTATTAATTTCCACAATGAGAATTTCTGAAATTTTTGCGTTGACATTAGTTTAATGACTATCAAAAATCAAGATACATTGAAACAAATGTATCCATGATCTTCAAGTCTCATCAGTGAAAATGACACCATCTAACCATTGAATCATTTCGAATTTCGTTACCGATTGATGATGAATTGAAATGACGAAATCTTTAGGGATAATTAATTAAACTTCTATATGTAGTGCTCGTTGATTTACTGTTAGACAACAACAAGAAAATAACCGTAAATGTTGAATGCATTACAATGACTGAATATTGAAACTATTCTAGATCAACTCAAGTATAACACAGTCCTTTTATGAATATGAAATGAAAACCAACTTGAAGTTGTTTGAAGAATAAAAACACATCACATTGAAACTTCAAAAATACTCAACGAAATCGTTGATTTATTGTTGATTGGTTAATTCACTGGTTTATTTATTTATTTATTTATCCAGTTAGTTATTTGTTACGATAGTGATTATTGCATGCTACTTCACCTCGCTTCACTTCACTCACCTTAACTTACCTTTCTAACTGAATACATCAATTGAGAGAAATGAAATTGATTTTCAATAGCCTCTTTCTATTATCATAAAATGATGTATGAATGAATCGAAATTTCAATATATTATAGAATTTATTTGTATCCTCAGAATTACTAGTAGTATGTATGTAATGAATCTTTATCAACTAAGGTGATTGGGATGTTTGTTACATATACCCGATCACCACCTATGTTGACGGGGAATATTGTCTAGTTTAAGAGTAGATTTCAGTAAGCTAAAAGTGGCTAAACCAAGATGTGGCACTAGTCCATTAAGTCAGTAACAAATGGACTGAGTCATTTAAGTAGCTTGAGAATACCGCGTTGGAGTCGGCGTGATTATCCTAAACGATGATTCACAGTTTTTGATAACAAATCAGGACCACTCACAATGGTCCATATACATTCACTCCTTGTCTTACTTTAGGATTTTAATTATTTGAACACATAAATATTGGTCCAAGAATGCGCCAAATATATATGCGCCACACAAAACAATGAGAATTTAGGGGGAAGGAGAAAAAAATGAGATTGATGTAAGGTTGTGTAATAATAATGATGGTAAAAATGGCGGAACAGACAGGTACAATCAGAAGAAATCTTTCAGTTAAGGGAGACACAACCACTTTTTTTATGAAGAAAGTAAAAGAAGGTTACAGCAGGATCGCCATTGGCTTCTATTCTGAGCCATATCTGATAACGTCTCTAGCCACTGTGTCACACCATCTCTGGGACCCCAACCAGGGAGTCGTGAAGGACCAACACAAGCCAGTCCTTTGCAGCTTTCTTTCATGCCACGACACCATGTCATGCACTGACCACCTCTCCGCTTCTTCCAACCAGTCTCAGAGTCGGCAAATAATGCACGGCGTGGAATTCTCTGGGACGACATTCGGAGAACATGTCCAAGCCACCGAAGTCGGTGTTTCAAGACAGTGACACCAATTGAATTATCACCTCTGTGCCCGAACACACGATGCCGAATCTCTGCATTACTAACATGGTGTTGCCACTGGATGTCAGCAATCCTTCGGAGACAATGATGATCGAACACAGAGAGTCGTCTAACGTCCTCAACTCGGAGAGACCAGGTTTCACAAGCATAGAGCAAAACTGCTCTCACCGACGCGTTGTAGATCCGACCTTTTACGGCCAGACTAACATCACGAAGGCGCCAGAGGTGGCCCAGATTGGCATAAGCCGCTCTGGCTTTCACTATACGTGCATTGATCTCATCACTCACACCCCCACCAGCACTTATGCAGCTACCCAGATATACGAACTTCTCGACTACTTCTATCTGCTCACCATCCAGGGTGAGTACAGGATTGGAATCCTACCAGTCTTGTAGAAGTACTTTGCACTTGGAATGTGCAAAGCACATACCATACCTACGGACACTGATTGCCAACTGATTAAGTGCGGACTGCATGCCTTGGGCATTATCGCACAGTAAGTCAATGCCATCCGCATACTCAAGGTCGAGAAGTCTTTTTCCAGGCAACAAATACACACCGCCACTAATCACATCCAACAATGTTGAGACTAAACAACCCTGTTTAACCCCACTGCTTGAATAGATCAATGAAGAAAGGTGGTTGTATGCCACCCCTCTACCTGAGGTGTTTGTACATGGAGCCCCTTCAAAATGGTAATGAATTTCTCAGACACACCTTTCTTCAACAGACAATCCCAGAGAACAGTCCTATCCAACAAATCGAAGGCAGCCATGATGTCGAGAAACACTGTGGTTGTTGGCCTGTGATAAGTATGAAGGTGTTCTAATATTTGTTGAGTCAATCACTTTCGGGTTTTGAACAACCTACCAAGTATGACGGAACACAAACCGTCATCTTCCCATATTGTATCCCTCACACTAGACTTCTTGTTGCCAGTGGCTCGGATGAGTTGGAAGAGCTTCCGGTAATTACCAAATGCAGCTGCTGCTTCCAGCTCATTATCACGCTCCGACCACCAGGCTTCTCGGTCCTTACACAAGCTTTGCCCGATTTCCTTACGTGGCATCCTTCGTTTGTGGTCGAACTCACGGTCACCCGGAGTAGACCGACGGGCTTCAATGTGCTGTAAGGAACCAGAAGAAACCCAGTGCTTATAAGCGGGACGTTTCGCGAACCCACAACTGACAGTATCCGCCATTTTCATGGCGTCATGCAATTGCAACCAATGCTCATTTATACTTTTCGGTGGAATGGTAGCTAGCCTAGAGGCTAGCTCGGTTCGATACTTATTTGCAACAGAAGTTGCGACCAGCTTGCTAATATCAATCCGTTGATGGCGGTCACTTCGTTGGCCACTGAAAAGTAAGGCAAGATTAGCGCAAACCAAAGCATGGTCAGAGTCCAGATAGGTACTCCAGAAGGAGCGGCAGTCTTTTACACAACCACGCCAGCGGTAGCTGATCGCGATGTGACCAATCTGAGTCCAGGCTTGAGATGCAGAGGGAGGACGCCAGGTGGCACATTGGCGATGACTGTGCCGGAAGTTAGTGCTAGCCAGAAACAGGTTGTGGTCTGTGCACAGTTGCAGTAGACGGTCCCCGTTATCTGACCTGCGACCAACGAGTCCCCATCGGCCACCTAAACGACTCTCTTCTGTGCCTAGACGCTCGACCTGAACATTCAAGTCTCCGGCTAGTACTACAATATCTGTCGAACGCACTTTTTGGAGAAGAACAGATAATTTGTGGTAGAATTCATCCTTGATTACATCCAGGCTGCAATCTGTCGTTGCATATGCGGAGACGACAAAAAGTCATCGTTTCTCACGCCGATTTCTTCTCACTTTGATGGAACTTTCTAATCTAACAGCACATAACCGACTGTCAATGGGGATCCAATCGACTAGTTCTGCCTCAGCTCTAGCGCTTAGTGCGACACCAACGCCAGCGAGACCAGACAAAGATGCCACAGGGTCCCCGGATAAGCGCACGTAAAACAAGCTTTTTGAAGTGACAGATGGAGAGCGGATTTGTAGTACTTCACCAGAGTCTTGAATACGGGTCTCGTATAGACAGCAGACATCGATATTAAGACTTTCCAAAGACATAGCCAGCCCCATCTGTTGTCCAATCTGCATAAGTGTGTGAACGTTGAAGGCAGCCAGTTTGAATGGTGCACGTGGTTTCAGAAAAACTGCTTCAGTACCCATATTTGGTGGTAACATACAATTTTCAACCGGACAGTGACTCGAGAACGTTTAGATAGAGTCGAATTTCCACCAAAAGACGACCTGCTGTGTAAACTGAAAAAATAAGTATAGACGGAGTAGGAATAAAAGAGGGTGAATAATGATGTAGTGAATAATAATAATAATAATAATAATAATAATAAAACTCCGCCTGT